CACCAAGAGAAGGAAATGACATGTGGGTTCTCATTAGAAAAGTAGGTCAGAGTCTCACCCTTTTGGTCTGCTCCCAGCCTCTTCCCTTGTACTCGTCATTATGTTGAGAACACATGCTGTGACTGTGCAGGGCCTGCTAATCATGCTCATTGTGCTCAGGAGCTGTTTTGTGGCTGTCAGCAGTATGAACCACAACTCACAGAAGGAGAAGCTAAACAATGTTATTCTGGTTTGGGATGTTGGTCAGTAACTCCAGGGCAGCCTAGATTAGCCTCATTGATGAAAAGGTTTTTTCCTTTTGTAGTAAAAAGAGGATTTTTATTTTCTAGAGTTATTGCTCTGGAATTTTTCCCAGCAAACTACTACTACTACTACTACTACTACTACTACTACTACTACTATTACTACTACTACTACTACTACATCCCCTTCTTCATATTCTTCTTCTTCTTTTTTGGCTAGTTTGTGGAAAAGTCACTGGGTCACATTGGTACTTAATGGGTGGAAGTCAGCCTCAGGGGTTAGGCGTCTTGGTGTTTAACCAAAGTAGGAATCAACCCACTCTTTGGGCTTAGAAAAGAAGCCCATTTAGAAGAATCTTATGAATTTTCATCATGAATTAGCAAACATCAGAGGTCAATAGGAAACCCAAATAATAATATACTATCTTTCTCAGGGCTTATATCAAAGAGCCTAGTCAAATGAATTATGGAGAGAGAAATTATACTTTTTAATCCTCAGCACTTTCACTCAACCATGAATGGTATTAATTCAGGGGAGTTGTAAAGAGCATTTCAATGAGAGAGCTTTGGAACAAGGAAAAGTAGGTACATGCTGATAGTATAAAGAGGGTTGAATCCAATGTAGAATTTTAAAGTTGGGGATAATCTAGTGCCACCTAATTACATACACCAAAGGCACGTGACCATTGTTTCCATGCTGGAACCAGAGTCACCTGCAAGGCTTATTAAAATACAGCTTTCTGGGTTCCACCTCCAGAGTTTCTGATTCAGAGTTTCTAGGTGGGCCCAAGAATTGGTGTTTCTAGCAAGTTTGCAGATGCTGCTGCTGCTGGCCCCAGACCACGTCATGACAGGTGCTCTGCACCATCCCCACAGGTGATCAATCCATCCAGAGTTTGCCTGAACACTTCCAGGGAGATGGGTTGTGCTGCTGCCTCTGCCCTCAGGACATCTTTCCTAGAACTTATTGATGCTGCACAAAGAATGCTTCCCAGTAACCCTACCCCAGTCCTAATTCTGCCAGCTGGAATTACTCTGAATACACCTAATCCCCTTATAAATGCCTACACTAACAGACTTATCCTAAGGAAAAGAACGGATAGGCTCTGTTTGGCAAATAATGCTGTTCCGTTCCATACTAGGGAATGCCTGTTCATTCTCTTTTGCCATCCAACTCCCAACAAGTTTAGATTAAAATAATAAAGTTGGGGCATGCGTAAAATAAAGTGTGTAAATCTCATGTGTACAGCTTGATGAATTTTCACATGTGTATACACCCAGACAACTTCTTCTGGGCCAAAACACAGTATTTTCACCACCCAAAAGACTCCCGTACTCTTCCCCGGTAGGTACCATTTTTCACCATTCTTCTGAGTCTCATGGACAGGTTGTGCTTGCTTTTGGGCTTTATGTAAATGGAAGCATGGAGAGTATACTCTTCTATATCTATGTTCCCACTCAAAATGACTGTGAGATGCTGGATAGACAAGAGTAGTTCTTGCTGTGTATAGTATTCAAGTTTGATCTGTTGCATTGTCTTACATTTAATTCCCTGGCCCTTCTTCTGTTTTGTATATTTTTAAGGTTTACAAATAGCATTAGCTGGCACTACTGCCTACCATGAATCAGGATAGCCTGAGTCCAGTAGTTCCCCCATATCCATGGTTTCATGTTCCTCAGTCACCATTATCCCCAGTCACCCATGGTCCTGGAAGCAGATGATCCTCCTTCTGACATATGGTTGGAAAGGCAGTAGTGGCCCTCATGCTCCATCACAGTGTCTGTGTCACTCACCTTGCTTCATCTCAGCATGTAGGCATATTATCATCTCACATCATCCAAGAAGGATGAGGATGGCACAAGGAGATATTGTGAGAGAGAGACCACATTCACGGAATTCTTACTGCGTACGTTCTTAGAATTGTATTTTATTATTAACTGTTGTCATCATTCACTTAGTATGCCTAATTTATAAATTAAACTTTGTCATATGTATGTATTCAAAAAAAGCACAGTATATCCAGGGATAAGGGTGGGGATAAGGAGGGACTACTGCCCATTGCATCAATCTTTTCAATAGTGTGAGTTTGGTAGACCATAAATCCATTTTGCAGATGAGATAACCGAAGCTTAGTGACTTGCCCAAAGCCTCAAAGATCATGAGAGATGGAGCCAGTATTGAATGCAGGTCCATCTGACTCATTCATGATTCTGGGTTCTCAGGTGTGTTATCATGCCTGTCACTCTTGGTGCTTTGCTAGTAATCACCAATGAGAGAGTGACTCTGAGGAGCATACATTTTCCTTCTCTTTTAAAGACCTTTCCATTTTCAACCTTTTCTTCCTTCCTCCTCTTGAGTGGGTCTCAGGCATCATTGACCATGCTGGTGAACTGGAGGCCGACACTTGCCAACGTGCTGTTGAGATTTTCCCAGCTCCTTCAGATGGGCAGATCTTTTGGAAGCATGTTATCTTTCATACAGCTGTCTTCTAGAAGAATGAAATCTCCTCTTTGCTGGCTTTCTGGTCACTTCTGAATCCTCTTCCCTTGGTGGGTGCAAATAATAGAAGAATTAGCTCTGCCCTGTGGTTCCTGTTAAGGTTACACCTAAATTGCCTCTGAAAAATAATTGTCCTGTTGAAGGAAATGTCCAAACTTCCTTTGACTTTAATGTCTAATAAACCCTTACAAGAGGAAGTTTGTTCTTGAGTACAAGTTACCATGGGCAAATTATGCCTTGTTTCCTATTTTATTTAGCTAATTAGGGATGGAAGATTGCTGGTCAGCTCACTCTATGTATGGTGTCAACTTGGATAGATTAAAAAAAAAAAAGATCAGAAACTTTGCAGCAGTTTTAAGCCTGGCTTTGATTCAGTATCCTGGTAAAGTCTCCACGTATACTATAATATTTATGTATCCTCCACTTTATTTTTACATTCCTCTTGTTGCATGCAGAGCTACAAAATTTGAATTTCTGTTATTACATATATGGACATGGTGGAGTTTGGATCTATAAAGGTGGGTAGTTGTGAAATAATTTTCTTTTCTAATAGGAAATGAAGGTCAGGAGTAAAAAAAAGGGCTATTTTTGCTTTACTTACTCTTTCATCCCACTAATTTTTCTTAAATCATATAAAATCCATTTATGGATTTATCCTTCTGTAATTCTAACTCATATTCAAAGATTTATGCTGGGGAAACTTTGGGAGAATTTTTTTTTTAAGAGCCATCAACTTTCTGGACAAGCAGTGTGTTAGCCCAACTGGATGACTGGTGGGGGAAGGTGTTTCTTATGGAAGACTTCAATATGGAAGGAGTGATAGAATTAGACACCACCCTTTTGCAGTTCTAATGAAATAGTGGAGCCAGACAGACATTGTCAGTGTCTGGTAAACCTATGAAGTAAGAGATTGATGAGGAGCTTTATAATGGGTGATCAGATTGACAATCTGGGAGCCCACCATTTTATTACAGCTGAAAGCAGACAAGTAGACACTGTGTTTCTGATGTGAAAGAGTGATAAGCGGTCAGCATCACCCATGAAGTATTCTTGTTAGTACTGACCTTTGTCTAAGCAAGCCTCTAACTTTCCTCCCAGAACACAGGGAAGTATAGAAGATGGAGCTGTGGTTCTCAACATTGACTGCACATTAGACTCATATGGGAGATTTTTAGTTCTGATGCCCAGACTATGCCTCAGACCAATTAAATGAGCTCTTGGCCTCGATATTCATATTTTTTCTAGATCCCCCAGATGTGACAGTGTGAATCAGGGATGGAAACCAGGGAAATTGAGAAGCAAGTTAAAAAATAGGACAAGAAAACAGTCACAAAATGCAGAATGTAAGAAATTCCATGGGACAAAAAACCAGAGTTTTATAACACATTTATGTAGCCTTAGAAGAAAGGCAGTGGGAGGGGGCACTTGTAGATTAAAGGAGATTTAAGAAACATAAACCCGATGTGATATGTGGTCTTTTTTTGATCCAGATTCAAACAAATCAGCCATATCAAGACCTGTTCTAAAGAATCAGAAGAATTCCAATACAGATTGAGTATATTCAGGGATAATATGGCATGGATCATTGGTTCTATTACTTGTGGTTATGTGGAAAAAAGTTCTTATAGTTAGAGATACATTCCAAAGTATCTACAGATGAAATAAGATGCCTAGGATTTGTTTTATTTTATTTTTTTTTTAAATTTTTTAATTTTTATTTATTTATGATAGTCACATAGAATGAGAGAGAGAGAGGCAGAGACACAGGCAGAGGGAGAAGCAGGCTCCATGCACCGGGAGCCTGATGTGGGATTCGATCCCGGGTCTCCAGGATCGCGCCCTGGGCCAAAGGCAGGCGCCAAACCGCTGCGCCACCCAGGGATCCCCTAGGATTTGTTTTAAAACAATAGCAAGAGATGGTGAGGGGATTCAAAGAAACAGAGACAAAAGACTGGTAAGAGGTTGATAATTGTTAAAGTTGGGTGAAAGGATACGGGTGAAAGAATACTCACTATTCTCTCTACTTTTGTGTGTTTAAAAAATTTATGTAAAAGATGAAAAAGAAGACATCAAGGTGAAATCTCTAACATCTCTTGTACTGTGATGTATTATCAGTATGAAGTCTGTGAAGTTCATATAGAATATAAACCTGAAACTAATAAAATCGAGCCCTCTGCGCCCATGCAGAACAGCCCTGCTTCTTTTCTGAAAAGTGTTAATGTGTGCCATTGTGAATTATGATTACATCTTGCTTGCAGATGATTCTGGGCCACCTCCGTCTACTGTTATCAACCAAAACGACACTTTCGCCAAAGTCACCTTTAAGCCCAGTGTGGTACAACAGGCCAAGATTGCCCAGAATGGCATTCTAGGAGATTTCATCATTAGATATGATGTCAACAGGGAACAGAGCATTGGGGACATAGAGGTAATGGGCTCGTGGTTGCCATTTCTTGTTAGTTGCTTGATACTTTTAGTTAGATTCAGAATGAAGGATTCCAGTTCTTACCTAAGGGAGGGAAAACTTTCTGGTTCCTGGAAATTGGTTTGAACCTAAAATATGCCTCCAAGGGGACTAGGGGTGTTCCCTTCCTATTTCCTGCTTCAGTAATCTGGAGAGCAAATGAAATCTGTAATGTAATTTTCCCCTGTGGTGTTTTAGATGAGGTTAGAATTTTAGCTCATCTTCAGTTTTAATTAAGAGAGCCTGGTCCATGGCTCATTTCCCTTTAGGTTTTAATGCTCCAGAGACAGGGTGGGAATATTAAAATGCGTTAGCATGCATCCAGAATGTAGACAACTTTGACATCTCAACTTGCAAAAACCACGTATTGATGGAAGCAGGAATACCAAGTGGCAAGGGCCATAAAGGGATAATTAAAATTGAGTTAGTCAACATAGTGATTAAGTCACAAAAGGAGGATTTTATCTTTATACAGATTAAGCTAGCAGTTAGTTCTCTTGGAGGGATCAGGACAGTAGGTACTTTTGCTCTGAGTGTGGAATCTGCCCAGACTCTGTTTCGTGCTCTGACTTGTGGAAGTTATATAGACTGTCCATTTTAGGTAGTTTCCTGTACACTACCATTTTTACTTTCTCTTCCCTCCACCAGGTTCTAAATGGCTATTTTGTGCACTACTTTGCCCCCAGAGACCTACCTCCTTTACCCAAGAACGTGGTATTTGTGCTTGATAGCAGTGCCTCCATGGTAGGAACCAAGCTCCGGCAGGTGAGTGAAGGTCAACTGACAATTTAGTTCTCTCTCGCTTTTGCCTGGAACCATGATGTGCTCTGTGAATAAAATTCAGTTGATGCCAAATGTCCACTTTACCATCCAGCTATTCCTGCCTACAGCAGAACCTTCCTGAACTGATCCAGTTCAGTCACTGACATAAACTGTCATTTTAGGATGGTAGTCTTTTTTTTTTTTTTAAGGATTCTATTTATTCATTCATGAGAGAACACAGAGAGAAGCAGAGACACAGGCAGAGGAAGAAGCAGGCTCCATGCAGGGAGCCCGATGCGGGACTCGGTCCCAAGACCCCGGGATCAGGACCTGAGCTGAAGGCAGATGCTCAACCACTGAGCCACCCAAGTGTCCCCAGGATGGTGGTTTTGAGAGAACAGAGGGACATACTATAGAAACACTTTGAAATAAAGGGGACTGTCAGAGTAGAAAATGTGAGACAGGAATATGCTGAGAGGGACACTCAACAGCACTATTGTTGATGGAATAATTCTGTTTGGTAATGACGTCCTTTCAAATCAATGGAACAGAGCCATTGACAGCCCCATTGGCCTACCCTTAGAACAAAGGGCTTCTAACTCAAGAATTCAGGAGTGATATTCTTATGGCATTTAGGATAAATAGTGAAAATTCTAAGGATAGGGGGGCATTAAGGGACATGTAGTCTATGCTGAAATATTAAACTATACTGAAAATACAAATATTAAAAATTATTTTAACAAACCACTGGAAAGAACTATTCCTTATCTGGTATCATAAATATCACAAGTGTGTTTTTAATATTTTATGTATTTATTCATGAGAGATACACAGAAAGAGGCAGAGACACAGGCAGAGAGAGAAACAGACTGCTTGCGGGGAGCCTGATGCAGGACTCAATCCCAGGACCCTGACATCATGACCTGAGCCAAAAGCAGATGCTCAACCACTGAGCCACCCAGGGGCCCCATAAATGTGTTTTTATAATATAGTTTCAACTCACATAACAGAAAACAGAAAAAACTACTGGCTGCCAGACCAAATAATAGCTACCTTCTCCAAACACTTAGTTGTCTTAGCTTTTCTGTCTTAATTCATTATCTATTTTTAGTAATTAATAATACATATGTGGCTTAATAGTACCTGAAACCTCAAAGGAACCCTCTACTTTATCTCTTTCCACCCCTAGATCCCCTTCAATATGCAGTCGAACCTGATCTTAGCTGATAAACTATTGTAAATATTTTCTCTCAGTTACTACTTTGTAAGTTCTTTCTTTGGCTATTTGAATTTAACAAATCATGTAGAACTTGTTGATTTTTTTCTTCATGGCATCTTATGTTTCTCCACTCCAAAAGAGTCAAAAATATATTCCATGCAAAAATAGGGTTTAACTTTTTTTTTCCAGAAGTTTGCTAGATATGATTTCTAACTTGTATAGGGGCAAGATAACTTCTCCCTGCGAGTCGGTTCCCTGTAATTCTTTAGCACTACATCCTAGCGCAGAATTCAAGCTGCTGCTGACTTCTCCACTTCGCCTGCTTTTCCTTCATTTTGCATCTCTGACTTTCCATCTGGGATTACTTTTCTTTCCCCTAAAGAACACTCATTGGTATCTTCTCAAATGTGGGTCTGCTAGTAAAGAATTCTCTTAGTTTTTGCTTGTTTGAAGATGACTTATTTCATTCTCATTCTTGAAGGGTATTTTTACTGGGAATGGAATTCTGCATTGACAATGATTTTTCTTTCCATTGAAGATAGATCCCATTGTCTGCTGGATTCTGTTGTTACTGTTGATAAGTTGGTAATCATTTTAACTGTTGTTCCTTTAAAGGTCATCTTTTATTGTTGACTGCTTTAAAAATATTCCTCTTAATCTTAAGTTTTCTGTAGCTTTAATATGATGATTTCAGATATAGATTTCTTTCTTTTTTTAAAATTTTTGCCTGAGGTTCCTAGGACTTCATGAATTTGTGGATTCATGGGAAAATCCTCATTCATTATTTCTGACATCACATTGGCTCACTTTTCCTAATCCTAATCCTAAAGGATTCCAGCATTAGAAAATGTCTCCGTATCCTGTATCCTGTGCTTTCTTCTATTTATTCCAGCTTTTGCCTTTTCATACTTCCAAACCTATGCTACAAGCCACAGATTCTCTTTTCAGGTATGTCCAGTGTGGTCTCAGATGCATCCATTAAGTTACTTCAGTTATTGTGTTTTTTAGTTCTAGAATTTCCATTTGGTTCTCTTCAAATCTGCTCTGTCACTTTTTAGAATGTTCAGTTATTTCACAAAGTTTTAAATAACACTTCTTTTTCTCCAGTACCATAGACATAGTTATCTTAAAGCCCATATCTGATCATTCCGAACTTGAGCCCCTTTATGAGCTGTTTTTATTGTTTTCCTTCTGTCCTTGTGTGACTGGTCATTTTTGATTGTATTATGAACATATTCAAACATTTTTTTAAAGATTTATTTATTTATTTGTTTATTTATTTATTTATTTATTTATTTATTTATTTATTTATTTATTATAGACAGAGAGAGAGAGAGAGAGAGAGAGAGAGGCAGAGACACAGGAGGAGGGAGAAGCAGGCTGCATGCTGGGAGCCTGACGCGGGACTCGATTCTGGGACTCCAGGATCACGCCCTGGGCCAAAGGAAGGCACCAAACCGCTGAGCCATCCAGGGATCCCCATATTCAAACATTTGTTTGTAGAAATAGTTGAAAGCCTAGGATGATGAGCTTTTCTGCTATAGGAAGTTTGGGGTGTTTCTGTCAGGTACATGGGGGATTATAACCTGGATCATTATTTTTTCCTGAAGATTTATTTACTTATATGAAAGAGAGAGAGTGAGCATGCAAATTGTGGGAGAGAGAGAATCCTAAAGCAGACGCCCCACTGAGTGCAGAGCCTGATGCAGGGCTCTGTCCAACGACCCTGCAATTATGACCTGAACTGAAATCAAGAGTCAGCCACTTAACCAACTGAGCCACCCAGGTGCCCCAATCTGGGATCATTTTAGTCCATTTTCAGGGCTTGAGATTTTTCTGGGAAGCTCAGATGGCTCAAAGCTGGATTTCAGTCCTTTAAAGATTGGTTTATTTCTATATAGCACAAAATGTAGAGATTTACCAGAGCACCTATCCCTGGTGGGCTCTAGACTTCAACTTTTGACCCTCTAAGCTACTGAAATGATGCTCAGCCTCTCAGATACTTCTGTGTCCTTGACATACATCCTTTAGATAAAAGTGTTGCCAAATGCTGAGGCTGCTGCTTTAAATTTTCATCTTTTCCCAGATATTTTTACTCACTATTTTGATACTCTCAAGATTTTTAAAAAAATATATTTTGTATATTGCTTTTTTAGTTCACAGTGGGAAGGTTGGGTATGAAATTACCTGCAGGTTTTCTTTATGGGCAACGTTTCTCAAAGTGATTAATCACATGTACATGAAATATTCTTTTGTAGTGGTTAATTTTCTACTGATGTTTGAGAAGCCTCATAGCCTTTTCATATTTACTGAATATTCTGTAAAGTTCTTTGCTTTATGCACTCCAAGTTCTTAAGTGCCATTATCGTTTTTGTGACTTTGTTGGGTGGATAACAGATGCTGACAAAAGCAGAGTTGTGGCTTCTTGGAGACTACTGTTGGTCATTGAATGTACTGTTAATTAGGTCTTGCATATCACTCAGTGTGGTAATTCCCATTTGGATTTTGAATTAATTAGCAGTTACTGAGTAGGTGCCATGTACTAGGTTTCTCTGTGTGTGTCATTAAATTTCTAAGTACCTATAAATCTTCGTATTTTCTTTCTTTTTTCTTTTTCTTTAAGACAATGACCTTCATGAGGCCAGGGTTTGGGTTTCCTCTGGGAAAAAAAACATCACTTGAAGGTATTGATAATTAAAATTATTGCAGCCACTATGAATTTGTGTTATTACCAAATATCTTGTATTTTTATATTTTTACTTACCCTTGTATTATGAATATATCAGATATTATTAAATATTCTTGTTTTTAAAAAGCTGGTTTTAATGGCCATAAGGCAACACTGTACAGTGGAAACTCCTATGAGAATGGGAATGTTCTATACCTATAGCATCCAGCGTGGTAGCCACTAGTCACATGTGGCTGTTAGCACTTAAAATGTGACTAATGCAATTGAGGAACTGAAATGTTTTTTTTTTAAGATTTTATTTATTCATGAGAGACAGAGAGAGAGAGAGAGGCAGAGACACAGGCGGAGGGAGAAGCAGGCGCCATGCAGGGAGCCTGACGTGGGACTCGATCCCGGGTCTCCAGGATCATGCCCGGGCTGAAGGCAGCGCTAAACCGCTGAGCCACCAGGGCTGCCCAGAACTGAAATGTTTTAATCTTATTTCATTTTAATACATTTAAATTTAAGTAGCTATGTGTGACTAGTGGTTCTGTATTGGAGAGTGCTGCTGAAAAACATTGACTCACTCTACCATCCGTGAGAGACTTCAAGCTATTTCCTTCTTTTGCTAATTATTAACAGCATTGGAATGACTGTCTTCATGTAGAAATCTTTGACCACATGTCAATCATTTCTTAAGTTAGATTCTTAGAAGTGGAATTACTGGGGTAAGGAAAACCAACTAATCTGTGATTTTTACAGATATTAAAACCACGTTTTCTAGAAAAGCCATACCAACTCATTAACATGTAAAACTGTTACCAGAGTAAGAATTCCAAATGGATTAAGCAGCAAAAGGTAATCAATGAACCACACCCAAAAGTAAGTAAGAAAATAGGTATATTTAATTAGTTTTAAAATAGGGAAAGATTTTTAAAACCTAACAGCAATGAAAAGTAATTATAAAGGGAAAAAAATCAGTAATGTTAGCTATATAAAAAAGTTTAACTTTTGTTTCAAGCAAAAACAGAATAAAAGTAAACAGAAGGCTGGAAAAGTGTATGCAGCAAAGAGAAACTTATCTTTAGCATATAAAGAGCAATTCCAGGTCAATTA